TTCTATACGAGTACGCTAACATCGAACACGTTTAGAAAAGAATGGCTGAAGATATTGCACGAATGGAAGGAGCAATGGTTAAGACGACTTTCCAACCTCTTCTGATCAGACCAGGGTTGCCAACTCAAAACGCTAGGGAAGCACAAGGCTTAATTTGTGGCCCAAAACGCACGATAAACGGACATATCTGAATTTTCTTTAAGCTGGACCTCATTTTATCTCTTTTTTCTCTTTGTTTAGTCCATATGGTTTATCGAAAGAAATTTCACTTCAACGGTATTTGAGAAGAAAATTATTTTTTTGAAGTTCATACATACAGTTAGTGGTTCTCCTGTGGGGTTGTGTCCTCCAGGACTAAAGCACTCAAATCGTCTTTTTTCTAAAGCACGCTAAATGACGTGAACAACTTGTCCCGTAATTTTATACAGTTACGGAAGCCGTCAAAATTCGCATCGGTGAATTTATTCACCGGTAAATAAATTCATGGCTAACTGGATTGGAAAGAAAATTGAGAACAATATTGTTCAATAGTATGGAACTATCATATAACAGAAAGAACATGTATGCATATATTCTTTTCTGTATTATGATTGACTTACTTGACTTTTATATTTAACCGGTATCATTTGATCTCACGACATTGTTTTCATCAGCATCCATCGTTAAATGAAGAATATGGAAAAAAGATTCCCTTCACTATGAAATTAATGTTTATTCTGGCAACTTCCCATATTAAAAAGTTAACAAATTTGAGGATATCCTGCTCCAGTTTTTCTGTCAGTTTGTAGTACACAACTTGTACTCGACAACATGCTATTTTTTAGAAAAGGTACGGTTTGGTTTTTTGCTTATAAGGCGGCTAATTTCACAGCTGAACGGATGAAAAGTAGGTCAGGGATTAAAAAAAAAAAGTTCCGCTTGTGTTAAAACGTCAACTTTTAGAATTTGAGTATGTGACATCGAAATTTCTCGTGGAATATAATAAATTCATGTATTATGTGTTGTCTGAGTTAGAGTAGAGAAAAATCGTAAAAGGACGTGGGCCGATAAGGCCATTTGCGTCCCCCAGCAAAATACAATGAATTATGTACTCTATTTAACCGTATTTTGTAGTAAAAATTTGGGCGAAACATTTGCTTAATCTCAATGGTTGCAGGAAAAATTTTCAAAAGCCGCAGTATTTTCTCTTGGTTTTTAAAACTATTATAGAAGTTCATGGTGTTAAAATAGAAGTTTACTGATTTTTCAAGGTTTCTCGGAAAACAAACATTGCCATAAGGTTCAGCATGATCGATAACCTATGTTCCATGTGTTTTAAAACTTCCCAAACATGAAGTTTAGCCGGTAGGTAGGTCCTGGAAAATGCCCATATGGGAGTGAGAATTTGGAACTTGCGTTGTTTAAAAAGAGGACAGTCTAGGGGTACGAATAAACCTGTCAGTATTCAAAATACATTATTTGTCTTGAAATGGGAGGCTTTCAGATTTTGTTCGACGATTTACACCATGGTAGACCTGATCGGAAGTCCTAATTTCTCCGTAAATTTCTTTTCCAATAGCTCCTCTATCAAATACTGGAAATCGCATGGCTCTGACTCTTTCTGTTAAAAAGTTGTTCAAAGAATACTTTTTTTCATTCTATTTTGAAATGGATAGTAGATTACTAAATTTTACGATTTTTCTCTACTCTAACTTCAGACATCACATAATACATGAATTTATTATATTCCACGAGAAATTCCGATGTTACATACTCAAATTCTAAAAGATAACTTTTTAACACAAGTGTAACTTTTACAAATGAAAGTGGAGGTTTCAGGTAAAACCGATTTATTTTGTAGGAGTTACAGGCAAAACAAAACGAAAAATATAAGTGAATGAACGCGTGTTTTTTCCTTTACTTTCACTATGTCTGATTTCTATTTACTACAAATAAAGCAAGTTCTGCATTATTTATCGCATCTCTTTACTTGATTTCCCAAACAAATCCAAGAATCCAAGAAATCAGCGAAAATGCGTGAAACTCGATGAAAATCAGTGAAAATCGGAAAAATCAGCTGTTTTCCCTTTGAATTAACGACTGATGACGTTTCTATCATTCTATTCAGCATTTAGATATGCATTGTGCTGACACCCAAAGAAAGGAAAAAGACAAGAGAAATATATTGTTCTATGTTGTGTAAAAGCATACTGAATAGAATGATATACACGTGATCAACCGTGAATTTGCCATCAACATAGAATAAAGTTGAAACTTATGCCTACCGAATGGTAAAGAGAAAAGTTTTCTATCCTCCTTCCTTCAGCAGATAACTGCGTTACAAGTGTTTTGTTATTCATCGTTCGAATACTCTTTTCACTTCCTGTATAAAATTACGAGCTCCAGTCGTTTGGCGCGCTTTAGAAACTTTTGACTGTCGATTTGGCTACCAAGGCATAAATATTGAATAGCGGTTAGCCATTTTTCTGATGGAGAATAATCAAACAGTTTATTAAATTTGAAATGTCTGTCGTCAGATGATGAATTAATTAGAAACCATAACTTATAAATGTGCTAACACAATTTTTTAATATTCTTTTCTTTATCATGCTCTTAAAATCTCTCTCATCTTGCGTATCATAAAAACACTTCAGTTTTAATTTCACTTTCGTAATTATTTGACTCTCATCATACGAACAATTAATTATTTTAAATTCTATATCAGTCATAAAGAATATTTCGTATTAAATTAGACAACATTAGATTGAATTTAATGTTTTTATTCGGATTCTTCGTACAAGATTTGTATCAACGACTGAGAGTAGAACATGAAATATTCAGACTGACAGGTTTAGAAAAGCCGATAGGTAAAGTGTATCGTGAACAATCTATGCCAATCAATGAAATTAGTAAACTCTACCAAATAGGCGCATTGAATTAACAGTTTTTTTTCTACAACACTCTATCGTTCTGCAGTTTCTTTTTGAGATTGAGTTACTTTCATGATGAACTTGAAATATTCTTTATCTCGTTGTGGTAATAATAATTGAGATTTATTTAATTGATTTAAAACAATATTCAGTTCATCGATTCAATAATTTCCCTTATCTAAGTAATAGCTTGATCACAGCAGTTGTTAACTATACCTGGAACGAACAGACGAATGGGTCACGGCACCAGTTGTTAGGGCTATTAGGCCGGGAGCTAACGCTTAACTAAAAATTCTTCCTTGTTACTTAGACTTGTTCAACGCTAAATGTTTGATTTTGTTGTTAAACTATTTTATTCGTGTTAAGTAAAGTTATCACAATGATGTATAAAACGAAAAGACAGAAAACAGACGAAAGAATAAATATAATAAACATAATATAATAGATATTATCTCGATGAGGTCATTCACTTCAACAACTGCGGCTCTGATCTAGAAAAGTGAAAGACAATGAAGTCGCTTATGTTATCCTTCTAAAATGGCTAGATTGAGATGAATTTTGTTTATTGAACTTTAAAAGAAGTGAAGAGTGTGTTTGTGATTTCCAGATGAGACAGATTAGTGGAAAGAAAATGAGGTGCTTTTCAGAACTTCAAATTGCTTCTTGGTAGAAAGTGATGCATAAAACATTACTAGTGCGAAGCATCCATTTTATTTTCAGAAAAGATGTATCTTTATACGAACCATTTATACAAAAGCTTTTATCAAAGAATATTGAATCGTTCAGAAGAAATCTCGATTTTTGATGCAAAATTGATGAGCCAGTTTTTTTCTTTAGGCGGAGGTGATCCAGGCGTCAAACTTACAGGATAGATATAGCAAAGCGAGGTCTGTCGAAAAACTGATTTTAAACTTCTGGGCAAAAATCTTTTCGAAATTTTTTTAAAGATTTCCCCTCAAAAACCTGCAAAAAATTGAAGTTCTGGCCGTAATCTTCAGTTGTGTTTTCAGCAGAACTCAGTTTTTATACAATACAAATATCATATTCCAAATCAGCCTCAAAAGCTGACGAGGGAACCTTTCCAGATGTCCGATCGCTTTTCTGGCGAAATGCGGTACTTTATAGGTAATCGACTGTGCTGATTCCGAATATGATAGCTGTTTTTGCGCACAAGCCTTTCCTAACCGATTTCTGAGAAAATTCTCTGAGGTGCCAATAAACATTTAGGGCTTTTCTTGTGAGTTCTTTAACTTTGCAAAGAAAGGCCATGTAGAGCTGGGAGATGTCTCATTTTAATCAGAATTTCGCGGGCTACAATTCTGACTTATTTAGAAAAACTCTTGGGGATTTTTCGAAGTTTCTTGAAAGTCAGTTTTCCAGAAGCCGGTTAGGAAAGGCCTGTGAGCAAAAACAGCTTTCATATTCGGAATCAGCACGGCCGATTACCTATAAACTACGGCATTTCGTTAGAAAAGCGATCGTACACCTGGAAAGGTTCCCTCGTGAGTCGAACCATTGAATTTTTTTATCCTGTCCGACCACTTTTGTTTTTTTATAATTTTTACATTGAAAAATTACTGAGATTTTTACCAAAACATGAAAATCAAGGAAAAACGAGTTCTAATGAAGAAAACTGAGAATTAGGGCCAGAATTCCAACTTTTTTCAGGTTTTTGAGGGGAAATCTTTAAAACATTTCCAAAATGATTTTTGCCCAGAAGTTTAAAATCAGTTTTCGACAGACTTCACTTTGTTCTATCTACCCTGTAAGTTTGAAGGCCGGATCACCTCCGCCTAAAGGAAAAAACTGGCTCACCAATTTTGCATCATAAACCGAGATTTCTTCTGAACGATTCAATATTCTTTGATAAAAATTTTTGTAATCAAAAATGATGTGTCGTTGGAAAGTGAAGTATATTGCAATTGTTCAGATAAGATGAATTCCTTAAAAATATTACTTCCGAACTTTTTAATGATAAAAAGATAAATAACAATTTTGTCTTTTTTTATTTCCTGTAGACGATTGGTTTGGCACACATTGTCAGTATTCGTTTGATAGAGAGAAATACTCAGATAAGTCATTCGATGAAACAGTAACAGCACAAGTTGACTACAAGACACCGTTACACCTAGACTATACAAGGCTTAATAAAACACCGTTTACATGTTATATTAGTTTAAATAAATGTAATTCAGCATTATGTTTGGATTGGCGACAAATTTGTGACGGAAATTTTAATTGTGAAAACGGTGAAGATGAGCCCCGAGATTGCTTAGAATTGAAATTAAATGAATGTGAAGACAATGAATATCGATGTCGTAATGGCATGTGTATACCAAAGACATTTCTTCTTGATTTTAGTCCTGATTGTATGGATTTGGATGATGAACATGATACATATCTTGCATATAAATATGAAGTTGAAGTTTCTCCATAAACTGCTATTCTTCGGCAAATATTACTTCATGTGAAGAAGCTTTTTGCCGTTTTCCATATTTTCCTTGTGCGATAGACAATGTGTGATTCTTAAAAATTTTCATCAATGTAAAAATCATCGAGATTCATTACACCAGCTGCATATGCATATATCTACTTTAGAGGGTTCTCAAATGAATTCTGAGTGTTGGCTATTTATGTTATGTTATATCAAAAGACAGGACCATATTGATCTTTTCGGTATCAAGGCTAGAGAATGTGAGCGCCTATGTCTAATGTGTGACGTTTACGGTCTTGGTTTTGAGTTTACATTTGTCGGTCTTACCAAAAGTGTGCTAACCCAGAAAACTATTATAATTGTAAAAATAAAACGTGCATAGAAAAGTCGAAAATTTGTGACGGCATTATTGATTGCGAAGAACATGGTGAAGATGAATGGTTTTGTCATCTTAATAATGAGCGAAAGAGACTATAGTTTTCACTTGAGATAATTGATGAATATCCCATTGTTGATAAGTCATATAAACTTTATACTGAAGGTACATCTCCTGTTTTGTCACTGTCAAAACAATTAGTAACTGGCGAAACAATAATAAAAACGGTAATAACAACAAAACATGTTAATCGACTGGATAATTGGTATTGCAATCCTGGCATTAGTATAAATAAAAGAACTAGACGAGAATGTTTATGCCCACCTAGTTACCACGGTGAACAGTGTAAATATCAGTCTCAACGTTTGACAATTATTCTTCGTATGGACATTCAAGCCAATCTAATTAGATATCAAGAGCAACAAAATTTCATCAAACTTGTTGCCTATTTGTTAAATGAAGACAGAACAATCGTCTATCACGAAGAAATTATTCATAGACCACAAATGAAACACACATTCTATTTGAGCTATTCACAAACATCACAAAAACGATTGCAAGCTAAATGGTTTGTTCACGTGGATGCATTTTCTGTCACAACATCACAAGTTGATTTCAAAGAATCTTAGATGTTTGATGTTAAGTTTTCATTTTTACCAGTTAATCGTTTCCCATTACATTTGACACTTAGAGACCAAGAGACATGCGATACACTTCATTATGGTGGTCATAGTATATGTAAAGAATATTTGAATTCACCAGGCCGATCTTATTGTCAATGCAATAATGGTTGGTACGATCAACATTGTAATGAAACAAATAAATGTTTACAGTTAAAATGCATGTGGAAATGTATTGGTTGTCACCCTGTGGATCCGGCACCGATTTGTGTCTGTCCACTGGGTCGTATTGATAATGATTGTCATGTAAAATTTGATCCATGTATAACCATTCATTGCTACAATGGAGGAACATGTGTGCCATTAGATGAACGATCAGTTAAAAAATTTATCTGTGTATGTGTTGCTGGTTTGTATGGTCTTAGTTGTGAATCTCGTGCAGCAGAAGTTAGTACGAGTTTTTCAAGTGACTTGATTGAAAATAAAAGACGCTCAATACCTTGTGTAATCATACATTTTCTAATAGTACAAGATGAAATCCCTGGTGTATTATTTCGTTCAAAAAAATGTATACAAATGTACTCCACAGAAATTTATTTATTATTAATGATGAACAAAAACTGTTACCTATCTTTCTTCTTGTTCACACATTTTTTGATCCGGATTATTCCGATTATTATATTGCAGCAGTAATTAAAAATCAAATTAGTAATATTAGTACAAGTGTAATAGCGTCACATCGTTGTCCATATATCAATGAACTGCTTAACAATGAAACTATTGTCAAGTATCCACTAACGAAAAAGATCAAATATTATCGTAACGCATGTCAGTTAAACACTACTAGATGTTTTGTTGATGAAGCCCATATCTGTTTTTGCGATCGGAAAGACCGGACGTCGGATTGTCTTGTGTACCATCATGAACCAACAAACTGCTCAGTTGATTATTGTCAAAATAATGGTCGATGTGTGCAAAATTTACATAACGGAATATGGAATTTTGGATGTCTATGCAGCGCATGTTCATACGGTGCATTGTGTCAGTTGACAACATCCCAATATACTCTATCATTGGATGCTATGCTGAGTGCGGATATTTTAGAAGATGTACCAGCCATTTCTCATCAAAATTACTTAAATTGTTGTAACCTTGATGATAACACTCGGAGTTGTGTCGAACACTTTATCATTAATCACATTTTGGCAGCCCAGAACACGTGAATTTGGATGTGGCTTCTATTTGTTTTGTTTGCCCAATGTTGGTCAGTAAGGTCTCCTGCTATTTGGTGGTATATTCATTTATCTTCTTGCAACACAATTGAAAATTGTTCGAAGCCGAGCTATTGCACTTTATACTCGTATAGGTTTAGAATATTTTCTGACTGTTTGTCCCGCTCTATTTGACTGGCTGATAGCGTGTGTTGTCATTGAACGCAGCATTAATATCAATAAAGGAGCATCGTTCTAGAAAGATGAAAGTGTGAAATGGGCAAAACGTGTAATCTTTGTTCTTGTCGCCATTGTTTGTGCCAGTTGGTGGCATGAACCATTTATTCGACAAGTGACCGATGATCCACGTATAACAGCACACACATGGTGTATCGTTAATTCTCATGGACTTGGGTAGAAAACTATCAATTGTGTATAAATGTGGTTAATCTGATCATACCTTATTTCATTAATTTTGTTGCTACTATATTTTTGCTACATAAATCGACATTGAGAAAACAAACATTTGTAACATCAACAAGTGAAAAAGGTTATTTTAGCACATTTCGAAAACAGATATTACTGTATAGTAATCCATTTTGTCTCATTGCTCTGGGTTTGACATGGCTTATATTTTCTTTGACATTAGTTTGTATCAAAGATGAATGGCAAAAGTATTTGTATTTAATAGCCTATTTCACTTCATTTGGGCCATTGATGGGAACGTTTCCGATTTTTGTACTACCCGCTGCGAGTTGTAAGCAAGAATTTCAAAATTTTGTCGTACACATGCGAAGAAAATTAATAAGGCCATAGATGTAACTATTAGTTTTTGCTTGTGCTTTTAATATTCTTTTTTCAAAAGTAGTTGCGTCCAAAACAGAGCATTTTTTAAACCGACATATTCTTAGATCTGCTTTAAGCATGTACTTTTCCCTGTTTATTTTCAAAATCCCAGTATGTTTTAGTACTTTCTGTCACGTACACAAGCACTTCATAATACATGTTCGAATTTGTTTGTTTAAATCGTTTGCGCTTTTGTGTAACTTCAGATATTAAATAACTTAAGAATAAAGTGTGTTCGTATTTTTGGAAATATGTCTTCCGGCGTCAAAAGAGAAGAACTTTCGGAATATGATATAGCGTTTATTTTTCATCTACGCTTTTAACTTTTGAGTTAGACGTTGCTCTGAGCTGTAAGGATCTTATTTTGTTAAATGTTTGTTCTATAATCTGGTACCATAAAAAGAACTTCCGATTTCAATTTTGTGTTAGTCTGAAGCACTTTCGAAAAAGATACCTTTTTCAGGCTTTCAGAACACTTTCTTGCAAGTTTTCAGGAGCCTTTGATGAAAGTCTATCTTTTATGGGTTTGCATAGTAGACAGTGTAAACACTCCAGTGATGCTCTTAGTGAAAATGGAGCTTGACGGAAAATTTTCAATTTTTGACAAGGAGGTCTCAAAGCATTAAGTGAAGTATATGAGAGTGATTGTAGCCCAGAAGCAAACTTGGAGCGAAATAATATGTTATTGAGATCAGCGAAAGTGCAAACAACCATGGTCAAACATCATCCAATCCCAAAAAAATGTATAAATTAATTCTCAAACCATAGTTAATTGTTACACTTGCAAATAAATAAATCTCATTTCGTCAGCCTTTTCACCCATGATGGATAACCAATCACTAACAGTGTTCATGTATTATGTATGGTCGAAGGATCAAATAGACATGTTTCGGATAAGCTAATTCAAAACATCGAACGACAAATATCTATAATCTTGGAAATATGGGATGAGGCAAATGGAGTTGATGAAATAAATTGTCCGAAGTCAATTGACACTTATTTAAGTCATAATGGGGGAAGTTTTCTAAAAAAAGCTATCTTTTTCGAAAGTGCTTCGGACCAACACAAAATCAAAATCGGGAGTTCTTTTATGGTACCAGATTACAGAGCAAACATTTTTGATCAATACAAGATGTTTTGCAGCTCAGAGCAACGTCTAACGCAGAAGCCAAATGAGTAGATGAAAAATAAACGCTGTATATCATATTCCGAAAGTCCTTCTCTTTCGACGCTGGAAGACATATTTCCAAAAATAACAACTCATTGTTGTCTGATTAGGTTTATAACAATAATGCTGATTTACATTACATCCGAATGTATTATGTCTTAAATCAGAGTCAATTGACTTCGGACAATTTATTTCATCAGCTCCATCCACACACTGTCGATACTGAACCGATTAGATCCAGAAAAATCTAAAATGATTTCTACTCACATTAAAGCCGATTACTATTCGACAGTTGAGAACAATGGTTATAACCCCAAATGATCGTAAACATTTTTTAATTTATGAATTTGGTTTATGTTTTAACGTTTTACACGAAACTTTTTAAAATGCTTGACCGTCACGCGTTAAAAATCGTTTTCGATTTTTCCATCCTAGTGAAGCAGCATTGGATAGTTTTCTTATCATTTCACTACTTCATCCGCATTTACAGTATTCGTCGGTATTTGATGATCTTCGCAAAATTTTGACTTAACCTTTGGTGTATTTTTGCAACTGATGGTGATTCGTTCAAATTCACTAGTCTTTATATTAATGTCTTTTTTCTTGCATATTCGTCTTCGGCATTTCTGATGACCATCGGCTACCTTGGCTTTAGAACAATTTTGACCGCATTTGTGTCGAAGCTGGTGATTTGCTCCACAAAAAAAAAATGAACGATACATTCCAGGAAATGATTTTTCGATAAATGCGACCAAAAATTGGTAATTTATGGGGAAAATTGCTTGTTCATATCCCATAAAAAAGTAGAATAGAGCAATTTCATAAATCAACCAAATATCACTGAATTGTCGACAATCTAAGTTACGATACGTTTCATTAGTCAAACGATACCGTTGTTTCTGCAAATTATAACTATCAAAAAACTTTTCAAATGAACCATTAGTAGAAATAACGTCACATTCAAAGCTGACAATTAACTGTTTTTCGAATGCATATTTTCCACCAAAGAAAAAGACTTCTTGTCTTATACATTCTTTTGCTATTACTCACTTTTCACTTTTTCCAAAATGTGATGGATAAATATATACGGGTTGATTTGTACAAATGGCATTTTTATTATTACATATATAATAGTAAACTGTTCCTTTTCTTAGAAAACCATTTGTAAAGAATACGATAACACTTTTAGCTAATGGTCGTTGTGTTGAGACTTGTGAACATATCGGACATATATCCGTGAATGGCTCAAGCTGAATCGACGTACGGTGAGCAGAATTTTGTGTTTCTAATATACTACTGTTTTCTGTACAATAGACTTCTAACAAATCATCAACATTTTCGCAATGAAGGAATCTAATGGTATTACCATTTGAATTAATTAATGACAGTACATTTCTCATTTTATTTGGATCATAGATTTTTCCATATTTTGAACAAATAATACGGCAAATATGTTTATATTTGTCATTTAAATGACGCGATAAAATATTTTCTAACTGACAAGCTAATGATAAATGCTCAGATTCATACGTTTGTGATAGTTTTGTTACGAAATATCTGTCGTGGTGAAGTGTCATCTAAAAATAGTATAAATAAAAAGGATTCTTGAATATACCTTGTGCACATATAAACCCACTGTGAAAAAAAATTTCTGTTCATACACAAGGTAAATAAGATGTCTTGTCTAGATTTGAATTTTATTCGGTTGGTAATGAACCACGCACACAGAAAGTATCATCAAGGATGGAATTTACGTCTTAAACGTGTATGTCCAACTTTACTTGCTCATTTATATTTGAATGCAGAAATGTCTGAAGCATTGTGTTGTGAAGAAAGGAAGAGTATTTCTTTCTGTTAATCTGCTTTTTATTATACAATGTTGTTGAAACAGTTTACCTGACAAAGCATGTTATTTACGCTTCCGAGTAACTTTATTTCCCAAAATAATTCTTTATTTATCAGACAGATGATAATTCTAGTCTCTACATGATATGAATTTGTTTTATTTGATTATTGGTTTCTTTTTAATCAGAATTTGACAGTGAACAGAAAAAAATACACATTCTTGATTTATGAGAAAATTTATGAAGTAGAAAGCTGCCTGTTATTGCAGAGAATAACTACAAATATAAAAACGAAATAAAATGAGGAAAAGCAAAAACTAAAATATAAATCCACCATTGTACATATGCGGTTATTACGCTTGTGGAAACAATCAATGACATAAATGTCAAGAAGATTGTTTCCACGAGCGTAATAACTGCATACGGACTACGCGAGCGTGATTCATTTTGATGTTGGATATCAACATTTTCTTTCGATGAGAACGATTTTGTGGTACCTGAGATTTTTCTACGTGTGTGCCAGGCTGAATGTGTAATTTCTAGTAGCTTTTGATTTTTGTTTCTTCTCCGCTGATGCTTTCTTATTGCTGTTCGATATTTGATATTTATCTTTACCATTGACGAAGTGGGTATTTTATCAGTCTCTATTGATGATAAACCTATAATCTGAAGCATTGTAGGTATTGTTGGTGTATATTGAAGACGAAACTTTTGTAAATCGTTAACATCGACGACTTCTGCATATAAATCAGATGTGCATAAAGTATGTATCTCGTCACTAATGATTGTTTTGTCACTTTTCATCCCAATATGTGTACAAGAAGTTTTAAATTCTTTATACGTAATATCGTAATCAGATAATAGATTAGACAAATCTTAACATACAAAAAAAAGTACAAAAACTCTTCATGGAAAAATAGAACTACACAAGACGATTTATAATCTAAAAACTCATACACATAGAACGCAAAACTAATAAGCCATACTGCTTATGGGATAAGTCAACATTGAGAAGAAAAAGCTAGATATCAACAATTTTGTAATGGCAGACTGATTATCGCAGACGAAGTAACCTGATTTTTAGATTAATTCTTTACTCCGAATTGGAAGGCTTTACGTGACACATCAGGATGTAGTACTATTTAGCAGTTTTTCGAATTATGCAGAAATGGTAAGCGAATGTAATAGCATTTGATATTGATATCAGTATTCAGCAAAGACAAGGTAAGCGTACTAATGCAAATAGTAAAGAAGTTACTATACATTTCTAACAAAAGCAGTTAGATGAAAAACATTTTTATTACTTACCCAATTTTGTTTGGTTATTTTCTAATTTTGAAAGGAATTTGACAAAAAGTTTCAATTTTCTATCGATTGTTTTTCCACCTTCATCGTATTCGACTAAAATTCCATCAGTAACTAATTTTTGGATTATTGCCGTAGATATGTCGATATAACTTTTAATTCGTGTACTTTTAGTCAGTAGTATTTTCGATAGTAACACTGACGGCCATAACAAAATTATTTTCGATAATTCACGTAGCGTGTTTTTGGTGAATCTAAATCTACTGTAGGTTTTTGCTGTTTTTGAGTATTACTGTAACGTTGGGAGTCTGATGTTACATTGAATAATTGTTTATATTGAGCAATATTATATTTAATTAGTTCAACACTTGCTTGTGTAATACTATCTTTTATCATAAAACAAGAGCTATCATGATGCAAATTATTTTCTTCTTTAATCAGCCGTTTTACGTTTTCAAGAAAATTATCTGAACAATCATCTTACTGTATTGCCTCATATCGAGTTATATACAGTGCCATTAAGGATGATGCATTTTCTAAGCATTGAATTGGTTATTGATGATAAACTAACAACAAATTCACGTGATTTCAATACTCGAATACATAACCCACCATCGGTCATCTTCAGAGCTTTTCCTATATTAAGCGAAAAAAGAGCGGGCCAGACAGAGTTTAATGTTTTCAATATACATCTAAACAGCAGAAGCAATATCAAGGGAAAATCTTTTAGGAAGATGCTGAACACAGCAATACCTTAAGAATAACGCTTTCAACCGTCTCTTCTTACTTAAACAGAGAACGGGGCGCATTCTATACCTGTCTAAACTGAAGAATTTCAATAAGAAACATCTTTTACCAAAATACAGTCAGATGATGATATACTTATAACTATAATTCAACGTCTCGGATGGATCGATGAATGTTAAAAATATAAAATCAAAGATGGGTGATGGGTAACCTATGATTTTTCATTTATTGGCAACAAATACTAACCTAAACCTACACCACCCGATTTTCTTGCTTTTACATAAAACAAGCAGCACTCTGAAGTTGTAATAGCAACGAACGAGAATCAAAACAACTTGATGATTGATTCTTTGCATCATATGAACGAATAACATCATTTTTGGAAAATGTTTCATCTGCTTCATCGAGCGTTACTAACGTACATCCATTCTTCAGATATTCCAATATACCCGTAACTGTTAAATCATCCACTTAACCAAAAAATTTTCTAAACACAGGATAATTGTATCTGATCAATATTGGACGAATTTCTAATAGTGATTTTTTCAAACAACTCATGATGGAAGATTTTCCATAGCCTAAAGTATAAACAGAATAGTGAAGCATCATCATTCTGACTGATTTTTTTGTAAAAGCTTAACGACGAAAGGTGACTGACCAGGAGAACTAAAAAAAGATCCTGTACTGAAATCTAAAGAAGTTTTATGTTTAAAACTTAAGAAAATTGAGTGTATAGCAGAAAATAACTTCCGTCTGGCAAAGAATATTTTCCTATTGTCAACAGATAACGATAGCGACGAAAAAAGTATCATAAACTTTAACTGACTTACAGCTAAGAGCAACTAATACTGCTGATTTGTACTAAATTCTGACGCTAAATTCTGACGCTAAATTCTGGTGGGGAGATACTGAATTCTGGTCGGACATTGGAAAATTCGGAGTATGAAAAGACTAATTTCTGCTGATGCTTTTCGCTAAGTTCTTTGCTTTTTTCTGAATTCTGATATAGTAGGGGACTAAATTCTGAGAGGTTTTTACGAAGTTCGGTTTTGGATGGAAGTCTGACAACCCTCGACTGTTATGAATGTATATCGATCAGACTAGTCGAGGCATCTGTAAATGAGAGAATGAACATAAGAAAGCCTTTGTTGGACAAGGCTTTTCGAGCATTACTCAACATTAGTTCTAAACAGGACATAGTAACAATTGGAACTCAGAAGTACTGGCGATCGAACCTAATGCAACAAAACGAGTAATAATAGAAAAGATTTTATTAATAGATTTATTTTATATTGAAACAAGAAAAGACGTATACTCTCCAGAAAGCTTTCAGTTAAACACTTTTTGACTATGATTTATTATTCTTCAGTCGAAATAGAAAAGGAACGTAAACCGTGGTAAGTGTACGAAGAGACACTTGAACTCACAAAATAAAACATTAAATACTTAAAAAATGACGAGAATCATTACGTTTTTTACCGTTTACCTACTTTATTTGAATCTAGTCAACGTGTTGCCTGTCTGTATTTTAATATTATTTAAAAGAATCACATTAATTCGAAGTCATATCCGGATAGACTTTAGACTACGTTGAAATACTGTAAAAATAATCAGTGCGCCTTATCGCAGTATTCATCTGTTTCATGATAAACAGTAGAATATCGCCAAACTGATGCATATCGCGGTACATCCCGATAAAAAAGCATTACTGTTCATCTAACTACCACCTCTATTCGGATAATTCTACAATTTAACGCGATATGTAGCAATATGTTGGTCGATAAGCAGTTATCACCACGACCGAACGAAACATTATTTTGTATGATGATAAATCATACAGATAACGCGGTAATAACTTACATCGCGATCTATCGGAACCGTGTGACAGATGACAACGTAGAATTTATCATAATAAAACAATGAAGATATCATGATATCGATGAGGTTTTTGTTCTATAAAATATCTCGATTACAGGCGATAATTTTACCTAGTCAAGGAAATGTCGTGCTAAACAGCAGAACTATCACAGCAAAATAAATTTATTGGTCTCTACCAAGATAAAATACTACCCCGATAAAGAAGCTTACCACGATAATTCTAATGTTTATCGAAGTAAAATAAAGCATTGCGTAAGTGATAATATGCATCGCGATGAAACTTATTATCTCGAGAACATTGCAAACCTATTTTAGCTCTATAAATTTATTTAAGGCAATAAAGACAATATCTATCGCAATATTCTCTGTATTTCGATGCGTGACGAATAAATTATTTCCCGATATTTTCGATACTTTCTTCTATCATCCTGCTATAGTACTAATGCTTATCTTGATAAATATCAATATGTTATACTATCCTACGATATCTTCCTTCCATCTCGATCTATTGCAATAATGTGTAGCGTGTTAGATTGGTAATACGTAGTTCTATTGTGAAAACTATCAGCTTTTGTTTGTATTGTAAAAGGGCTTTGTGCATGAGGGCCATATAAGATTAGTGGTAAGTTCTGATTCCTATGCATCCTAACATTGTTTGCTACAAGTTTATTTGTTGGACCTTATTTTAACGACAGAAATAACTTATCACAAGAAAGTAACAAAAGTCAATCAGAAATAATCCTCTTTGTTTGTCTCCGTATAAATATCTCTCATTTCTAATAAAACGTATAGTTCTACCGATG